ACCCCTCCCCCGGACTCCAGCTAGAGCCCTGAGCTGGCTCACAATCCAGCTGAGCACCAACTACGCTCTGGGCTCTGTGGGGAGCAGAGAAGGTAAGGCATGGGGCTGGTCTCCCCGTAGAGTTCAGAACTGTGTCAACACATCCACGAACACAAGTGGAATTCAATCACTGCCCCGTGGTCACATGGAGGCCATCCTAACAGCTCTTGGGGGCATTCCTTCAAGGTGTTCTAGCACTTCTCAGTGGGGTCAGCAACTGCCCCCTAGAGGGTGTTAGGAAAATTTGTTGGGGCTTTTCAACGATTGAGAGGCATCACTGCCTTGTGGTGGAACAGTCCCCCCTGTGAAGTTTCCTTTCATCTTGCACGACTGTCATGTCCTGCCCAACAGGACAGGTGAAAAATCTGTTTATAATTATTTAAATCTAGCCCTGAACTTCATTTGCATATAAATGTGAACTTGCAATTTCCATGGTCTTAATATACACTGAATTTTCTAGGAATGCAACGACTGTGTAAACCGAGCAAAGCTTGTACCTTAATATTTTACTTGGAACTTTGCCAGGAGTTCCTCACCTATTCATAAAATCATGCTCACTGTATGAGTAAGTACGAGTCCCTAAGCGTGCTCAGGGCTGTGGCGTTCACAGTGATTCTGTGCACGGGGCAGGCCCTGAACTACTTCATTATGTCTTGCAGTTTAATCAGGCAGAGTATTTACTTATCAAAGTACATAGTATTTTTTTAAAGATTTTATTTATTTATTTGAGATAGAGAATGAGAGAGAGCACGAGCCGCGGCACAGAGGGAGAGGGAGAAGCAGACTCGCCACTGAGCAGGGAGCCCAACTTGGGGCTCAATCCCAGAACTCTGGGATCATGACCCTAACTAAAGGCAGACGCTTAACCAACTGGCACCCAGGCGCCCCCAAAGTACATAGTATTTAATTATAAACCAGTTTCACTTTCATTCTTCCTGTATCTCATAATTAAGGCATTATTTTTATTTTATTTGAAATCAGATGTGAAGATTGTTTTTATGAACTTTATTTTAGGAGAGTAAAGGGGCATTGTTAATATCTGCTATCCCAAGGGGATGCTGGCTGGGACTGGGCAGAGAACCCCAAAATCACAATGCCTCATAAAGCAGGGGAAGGACTAGGGAATCTACAAGCCTCCGACCTGTCTGTGTGCACCCATGCCTCTGTGTGTGTGTCCTTTATATTTTTCCAAACCAACGGGATCATACTTCACACAGTATTTTACAAAGGATTTATGTACTTAAAAATATATCTTGGACATTTCGTCATTTCGGCATAGACAGCTCTACTTAATTCTTTTTAATTGGTTTAATTGGTTGCATAGTATTTTGTGCTATGAAGGAGCCATAATTTATTTAACCAGCTCCTATTGACAGACACTGCATTGTTTCCATTTGTTTGCCATTATAAATAATTCTGAATTTTACATTACATACAAAAGACTTACATTTTTAACTGCCATTTGTATTATTTTTTCTTTGTCTTTTATAATTTGGAACAGATTTTTAAAGCTTTCTCCACTCTAAGATTATAAAAAGTATCCCTCGTTTTTTTCTAGTTTATTATTGGTTTCATTTTTTACGAAGTTTAGATCAACTTGGAATTTTTTTTTGATATAAAAAGTGGGGTATCTATCCAACAAACCCAGTTGTCCGAACACCATTAACTGAATGATTTATCTTTACTGATTTGATAAAGAGGACACGTATTGAATGGAGCACTGGGTGTTACACGCAAACAATGAATCATGGAACACTACACCAAAAACTAATGATGTAATGTATGGTGATTAACATAACATAATAAAATAAAATTTAAAAAGAACAAAAACAAAACAAAAAAAAGAAATACTACATTTATAAACACCCACATATAATTTGGATCCATTTAAGGACTCTTTATGCTACTTACTATATTTGTCTGTTTACTTTAGTTTCAGTTACAAATAGCTTTAGCGGCGCCTGGCTGGCTCAGTCAGGAGAGGGAATGATTCTTGAGCTCTGGGTTGTGAGTTTTCAAGCCCCACACTGGGTATAGAGATTACTTAAATAAATAAATAAATAAACTGTAAAAAACAAAAACAAAAAATAGTTTTAATTGCTGCTGTTTTATCATAATGTTTTTAAATAGGCTACGACTTTTGCTCATTTCTCTATTTCAGAATTTTTTAGCGATCCTTGAGTGCTTATTCTTCCAGTATTTTGTATCATTTAGACATGTTCCAAAAAAAAGAAAAATTCTGCTGCTAGTTCGATTGGGATTGCGAATGAGTAGATTACTTAGGGAAAACTGACATCTTTATGATATTGAGTTTTCCTGCCCAAGAACAAGTTATATCTCTCCATTTATTCTTTTATGTCCTTAGTGGAGTTTATTTTATTTATTTTTTTAAAGATTTTATTTATTTATTTGACAGAGAGAGACACAGCGAGAGAGGGAATGCAAGCAGGGGGAGTGGGAGAAGGAGAAGCAGGCTTCCCGCAGAGCAGGAGCCCGATGCAGGGCTCGATCCCAGGACCCTGGGATCATGACCTGAGCCGAAGGCAGATGCTTAATGACTGAGCCACCCAGGTGCCCCTCTTTCATGTCCTTAGTGGAGTTTAAAGTGAAGTTTATTCCTCAGCATTTGGGGTTTTTCTGGTGCTATTGTTAAAGGACTCTTCTTCTATTATTTTTCTAGCTAGCTATTTGTTTACTCACAAGAAAGCTAATGATTGTATTTATAATTAGAATACTTCTAATATTTCAAAATCAAGCATATGGTTATGCAAAATCAAGACATGGGTGAACTTTTAAAAAATCGATTGAATTTTTCAAACAAGATGTATTTATTTATTCTTAGAGTGTGCATGAGAGAGGGGAGTGGCGGGGGGGAGGAGCAGAGGCAAAGGGAGAGAGAATCTCCAGCAGACTCCCTCCTAAGAGTGGAGCCTAACACGGGGCTCAATCTCACAACCCTGAGATCATGACCTGAGCTGAAGCCAAGAGTCAGATGCTCCACTGACTGAGCCACCCAGGTGCCCCTGAATTTTAAAAAATTGTAATAAAATAAAATAGCTCAGAATTGCACATGATCATGAAGTGGTCTTAGATATAGTAAGAGCTCTTCATGTAATGTAATACTGATTTTTCCCAACAGCTTTCGTCTGCCACCTCATATCTTGCTCTCATAGCCCTATATGGTCCTCTACAGAAATACCCTTCAGCGATGAACACCCAGAAAAACACACCTCTGGGAAGGGCATGCCAAAAAACCCATTTTCTCTATTTTTCCCAGAACAAGGCAGAAAATATTTCTTCCAATGGTACATTTCTATACCATCCACTACCTGAGTGCTTTTAATGTTCTACAGCAGGTAATTTAATGTGTTTTCAGGAAAGATGAAAGTTAAAAGCAACACAAAGAGTAAGAATGGGTTAGAGACTAGAATTATCTCCAAAATTAAAAAAAAATTTAAAGATCAAGCATCATTCGGACTTCATTCTGGAGTACGAATAAGTCTTTGGTCAAAGGTTTATCTGAAAACTCAATCCATGCCCAGACCTGCTGCCTGGGCCAACTGCAGCCTTCTGGGGGAGAGGACCTCAGGGGATATCTGTGCTGTCAGTAAAGCCTCCCTCTAACTGAGGCTCCCCAGCCTCTATACCTGTCCCAATGCTGACACCTCCCCACCTGCACCAGCTCAGCTGCCTCCAGGTTCTTGTCAGGATGGGCAAACAGGACCCCCACTGTCTGAGCCCCATGAGCCCCAGTGCCAAAATATCAGCACAGGTCTTAGGGTTAGGTTCTCACTGTCTTGGAGCCTATGTGACATCCAGCCCCCTCCCCAAAAGGTCTAACCTAAGCCCAGTTCCCAGCTTCCCTGACATAACCATAGCCCACCTATACTTCTAAGAACCCCTGTCTCTGTTACTTCTTACCATGTCCTGCCTATCAGCCTACAGGGACATCCTGCTACCCTGGGCTGGACGCCTAGGCTCTGGCCTAAGCGCCACCCCCAAGCCTCCCACTATCTGTCTGTCTAGTATCTGAGACTGCTTCCTGCCTGCCAACTTGGACAAACTTCCAGAGTCTGTCCTCCCATATTATCCCACTGCTGCTGGAGGAGGAAGAGGTATCTACCCAGCCCTTCTAGTCCAGGCCCTTCTGCAGCACCAAGCCTCACAATGATGACCAGCCATCAAGAGAAGGCTCTGAGAGAAATAATAACAGCAACATGTATTGGGTGCTTGCTATGTGCTAAACAAGAGCCTAAGCACCTTATATGTATTGACGAATTAATCCTCGCAACAACACTATGGGTCAGGTGCTATCACCAATCCCATTTTAGGGATTTTTTTTTTTTAAACATGACCCAGAATTCTTATATAATTTACCCAAGATTAGAGAGCTAGTCAATGGCAAGTTCAAATCCAGCAGTGTGCCTCCAGGGTCTAAACTCTTTATACTGATAGCTAAAGAGGCTGGCCCTGGGCCTTCTAGAAACGCAGCTATTTTGCATCCACCAAGCACCTTCCAGCCTAAACCTCTTGCCCTTCTTGACTCAGCCTCTGCCTGGAAATCTGAAATGTCAATGACAGTTTGACAGAAGTCTGCTCTTTCTCAAGTCTCACCAGCCAGGCTGTCCTTCTCATGAGAAGGACTGAACGCCAGGCCCTACCCACAGGAGATCCCAAAATCACTGAGGCCCCTCTGTCATGGGCCTCCCCTGCCGTCTGTCCCAACCCATGGTCCATTTGGCATTTGCTCTCCTCTGGCTTTATCAGAGCAACAGAAAGCCATGTCTCATCACAGTCACAACCCCCAGCCCTAGCAGTCTCCTGCCTGACCAATTCTGGGACCTCATAACCTTATTAAAACAAAAAATGGCCAGTCAAGTCCAAAAGCACCAAGCCACTCTTCCCACCACGCAGGCAATCTCAGTCTCTCTCTCTCTCTCCTCCACCCTAGATGCCCTCACCTGTCACAATGGGGTAGGACTGCGGCCCAGGCACGCTGCTCCCGATGTCGGTGGGGGTGGGACTGGTCAGGTTGGCCTTCATGTCATCCAGCCCTCCAGCCAGCGAGGCCATCGCTGAATACTCAGTGGTCTGAAAGAGGAAACAAAACAGAGAATGCTCAGTATCAAGACTCCAAAGCACCTCAGCCAAATGCCAGCACCACATTCTGGGGTTCAGCCACCTCGCTGGGTTAGCCCATGCTGGCGCCAAGGCCACCCCAAGTGTTGAGAAGGCAGGTCCGACTCAATAGAACAAGACCGGTATCCAAACTCAGCAGTTCTCCCCCGGGGGGAGGAGGTGGGCAGGATTCAGAGCAGTTGCACGAGAATCCCACCCTAGCTTCCTGAGGCTGCAGACGCCACCAGCCCAGCCCCAGCGGCCACAGATGGCCTCTTCCAAGCAGGGAGGGAGAGGTCAGTAACCAAAAGCAAGGCAGAGATAAGAGTCTTGTTGCCAAGAGGATGGAGAGAAAAGTGTCCGATTTCAATGCTCTTAAACCACAGATGCAGAATCACAGAAACAAGGCTAAGAGGAGTCCGAGACATCATCATGCCAGGCCTTCAATTCGTAGATGAGTAAACTGAGGCCCAAGGCGAAGAGGGCTTTGTCCACAGCCAACAGGGCAGAATCCCAGTCCAGAGAGTCGTCCTCCAAAAACTCTCACTCAAAATCCAAAACAGTAAAACCAAACGAACCACGGGTTTGGCGAGTGTTTCTGAGTCCCGAAAGCATGTGAGCACCTGTCTGCTGAGAACTGCGGGGCGCACACCTCAGATTGAGCATGGCCACACCAACCATGGGCGCCTGGCCCACAGTCGTGCTCCTTTCGTTAAGCCATTTCATGAAATCAAAGCTTGCGATGAGTCATTTCCTTGGCATGCAAGCCCACCATCAGAGTGGTCTCCAGAAGATGCCAGCCTGGGTCTTCACATTCAGGGACAGACGAAATGAGAAGCATGAATGCCAGGTCTCTTCCTTCCACCCAACCCCCAGGCTGATTTTCAGGTAAAGAAAATATTTACAAACACCTAAGCCAAAGACTTTGGGTGTGCATGCCAAATTCTAGTGTGAGCAGTTCCCTCCAGGACCCTGGCCTTGCCAATGGAGGGCATATCCCTGTCTGTTCAGGCTTATGTCCTTGGCAGACAGGGAAAGGGAAGCAAACAGTCTTGGGCACCTTGGGTAGGATGCTGAGGACTGAGCCACAGGTCATGTAACCAGGGGAACCCCTGGGCCAGTGGCAGGCAGATGGGACTCAGACTCAGGCATATTCCTGGTGCTTCTCTCAGGCTATGAATTAGAAAGAATTCTTGGGCAGCTCAAACTGGGGTGGCTGGCAGCCATGAGTCCATGAGGTATTGCAGGCCCAGGCATCCTGCCATGAGCCTCACTGAGGATAGCTTTGTCCGGAGCTCCTGGGGCTCTCAATCATCTCCAGCAGAGGCTGATTCTGAAACACGCAGAGAAGAGCACAGGTTTCTAAGGGAGAAGGACAAGATAGGGACACGCCTTTCAACATCAGGAATCACTGTAGAGCTGTAGTAATTAAGACAGTGTGGGATTGGCACAGGGACAGATAAATAGATCAATGAAATAGAAGCGAGTCCAGAAACTGATCTGTGCATATATGGAACCTTGATATATGAGAGAAGGGATGTACAAATCAGCAGGGAAGGATGGACTCTAATCAACAGGGCGGGAGTAACCAGTTATCCATTCAGAAACAAGGGGGAAAAAAGAAATTGGATCTTTACTTTACTCCAGACACAAAAATCAATTCCAGGTGGATTGGAGACCTAAATGGGAAAGGCAAAGGCATCTAACGTGGTTGGCTCTAGGTCCAGCCAAAAATCCTTGGGAACAAGTGGTCCTGGGATGCTCACACAGGGTTCTTGGTCACTGTGAGGACAGGAGGGGGTCCCAGTCATCCTGCCACCCTGATCCGATGCCTCCTCCTCCAGGAAGTCCTTCCTGACTACCATTCCATAGGAGGCAGGTGACCCTCCTTTGCTCTGCTGGCCCCACCAAGTGGTCATGCCAGGGCAATCAGAACCACAATCTTCACACCCATGTCAAAAACTCACATTTATTGATCACTTTCTCTGTGTGAGGAGCTTTACCTGAATGTTCCATTTAATCCTCACAGTAACTCCATGAAGCAGGTTCTATGTTATCCCCATTTTACAGACGATGAAACTGAGACCTATGATAGAAGGGAAGCAGCTTGCTTAAAGTCACACAGCTTCTAGGTGCCACAGCCAGGATTCCAACCTGGATCCATCTGACTCCAAAGTCTTGACAATGACTCTGATGATTTTTATACTGTGAGGCCTGATCTGTTAACAGATGCAAAATCAATTTGCTAGTGCCAGTATTTTAAAAAATGAAATTAGAATAGACTAGAACAGAAAATACCCAAGGTTCTTACACACAGCAAAAGTCCTGTTTTGGAAATCTTGGTTTCACATATAAGTGGATACAGATATACTAGGTGGAGATGAGGATGTCTTTCTTGCTTCAGGTCAGGACCAGCAAAGTTTTCATTCCACGCAGCAAGGAGCTGTTGAGAAACGGTCACTGTCTAGACTTCATCCCCCACAGAATTGGACCTGGTCATGGCATTAGCTGCCTAATTTGCTAAAAAAGGAACTCGGAAGTAAAGCTCACTGAAATGGCTCCTTCAGTGCATTGTCATGAGCAAAAAAAAAAAAGAAGGAGGTCAAAACAAATCTGTAAGGGTTTCTTCCAAGATGGTGTCTTCTGGAGTTCCTGGGACTCTGGGGTAGAGGACAGGCCTCCCTCCTCTCTGTATTACCAGTGCCCTTACAGAGGCCTGAGCATAATGAATGTTCAGTGTTTATTGAGCCTTTCTTGCGCACAAGACGACATGTGAAGGCCAGACATGCTCTCTGACCCTCATCCACAAACCCCGAGGGAAAAGACACATGGCCCAGAAGCTTTATCCAAGAGGAACAGGAGTGCAGAACCATTCATTGACCATGGAGTGGGAAGTGGTCAGAACAGGGCTCTTGGGCAGGTGGCACTGAACCTGGGTCTGAGCAATCCCCAACCCCCAAGGCTGATAAGTGCTGCAGGAAGGCTCAGAGATAAGAGGACAGGAGTGATCTGGAAACAGGGCACATGCCAATCGTTGAAGGAAGTGAAAGTAAAAGAGGCAAAGACGGAAAGGTAGTTAAGCTGGGATTCAACTCTGATGGGCTTGCACAGGGAACACATGGATGAACACATGAATGAGCCATCCTTAGGCGGGCCAGACAGCAATCTCAACCAAAGGTCAGCATCCCTGAGCCCCTCTGTACCCCACTGCCAGACCTACCCCCTTCCTGGACTCCAGGCTGGGCAGCTGGGTCTGCAAGGGAAAGCCTTTATTTCCCCCAAGAAAGCAGAACCAACCTAGCTTTAAGAAAATTGCAAGAGGGTGACCAATGGGGATATTCTGCTTCTTAATGTCTCTGATGCTCAGTTGGAAGGGTCTTTTAGCTATTTGATTTTGTTTTGGTCAATAAATTCACTGTCAAAGTTTGTCCAGTCACTTTGACAGCTGGGTTTGGATCCCCTTTCCAAGATAAAAATCTTTAACTTGTGTTACACATGTGGTAGGAGGTCCAAAAATCCAGTCTCCCAACCACCACTGGCTGCCAGAAGGTAGAGTGAACTTCTCTAAAGAGTGGGGGCCCTGGGGACAGGGGACTTGGAAACCCTCCCTCAGCTGCCCTTGGCTATCTATACCTCCCACCACCACCACGTGGCAGGGCTTGGCCCAAACCTAGACTCTCTTCTTGGGAAGGATTCCACATCTCTTACTCTGCTCCTGCGTGAGCCAGAGGATGCTAACATTTAGTTTTGGTGTGTAATTATTCCCTGAGTCCTCGTCACTGCCTGTCCCTTGGAGCTGCCGATGATTCTCTCCAATCTCCTGGGCTCCCCTGCTCCTCAGCTACTCCCGGCAGTCCTACCCCGGCCTGGAGGACTCGTAGAGAACTCCTACACTGTCCACAAGACCCAGCTCCAACGTCACCTCCTTGGGGAAGCCATTCCCGGGTCCCCTACGTCTACAGAGAAATAGTGACTCCTTGTCAATGCTTCCTTATGTCCACAGACCTCCATTGCCATACTTCTATCATGTTTAATGGCCATTTGTCTATCTCCCTCTAGGCTGCCTTGAGATCATGGAACAGGGAACATCCCTAGAGCCCCCTAAGCGCTTGGTGGGTGAATATACGGTCCAGTAGCATGACATTAGCCACAACACTCAAAAATTAACTGAGAAGGGTTTGAACAAGAACCCCAAGTGATATGCTAACCTTCCCCTACCCCTCTCCCCTTTCCCCTCATCAAGTCAGGTGACCAGCAAACAAGGTCCTTGGCCACCATGTGTTAAAGCCTCTGGGGAAGTGCTTTCACTGGTCTGTGAGAAGATATCAGGCATTCAACATTAGTTAGAGGAAATAAAAGAGCCACACTAAGAACTTTTTTTTTTTTAACCTCGGAAAACACTGCCCTTAAGAATAGTCAAAGTCCTTGCCAATCCCTCCTGCAGTTCAGTGCCCCTGACGTTTTGTTTTCCTCTCCTGATGAGTAGTTAGCCTGCCTGTGGTTGAGCAAGAGGAACACTGGAAACCACGGTTTGCCCCTTTTTGCTTTGGCTGCCAGAAAGCTCAGTCAAATTCAGTGTTCAACCACCGCAACCACAGCATTGCTGGCACCTGGCGTTAGGACCCACCCTCTTCCGCCATGTTATTTCTGAACTTTTTTTCAGCCTTAACGTACTAACTTAGGTCCATGCAATTGTTTGTTTTGCAGGACACCTCAGGTCCTTTGTGAAAGTGGAGACTGGACAGGGTAAAAAGAATGACAGAGAAAGAAAGCCAGAAAGGAAGGTCAGGAGACAGGAAGAGAAGAGAGAGGAAATAATCGGTGCCTCTGGTAACCGCGACAGTGCACTTCCACTTCTCTCAGTTATCTGGGGGGCCGAGGGCTGAGTTGACGGAACACGGCGGGGGCGGGTCGCATGTACGTAAGTATGCTGGTGCACCCACGTGCTCGGGAACAGGGCCCCCCTCCTCCCA